CTGCCGCGGCCACCCCGGGCGCATCAGCCCTGCCCGGGAGGCCTTCTACAGGTGTGCACCTGCCCAGGGCATGGGAGTGAGGGGGGCGCTTCAGGTAACTTGGTGGCAGTGAGCTTGGGCTCGCTGGCCACACCTCCCAACTAGCTGTGTGTCTGGGGCCAAGTTACCTCCCCTCTCTGGGCCCTAGTTTCTTCAACTGAGAAAAGAGCCTGGTAGGCTCTGGTGGTGAGGATCTCAGAGGTCAATACAGGGAAACACAGGACAATAAGTACACAAAAGCTACCTGTTGTTGGTGGTGATGAGGCAGAAGGTGGGGGAGGGGCGTCTGGGCAGGGCTGCAGGCATGGCTAAGGGGACACTGGCTTCTCCTCCCTCACAGGCATCTACTGAATGTCACATGGGAGGGCCGGGACTTCTCCTTCAGCCCTGGTGGGTACCTGGTCCAGCCCACCATGGTGGTGATCGCCCTTAACCGGCACCGCCTCTGGGAGATGGTGAGAAGGGGGTGAGCCCAGGGGCCCTTGGTATCCTCTCCTTTTGTCCCCACCTATTGTCCCACAGCCGAGAGTCCCTACTGTCCCTCATCCAGCCCCTCATCCTTCAGGTCTCAGCTGAAACATCTCCACTGAGAAGCCTTCCAGGCCCCCCAGAGTGGGTGAGGCATCTCTGCTCGGGGCTCCCACAACACCCCGGCCTCCCTACGCTGTAGAATTTACCAAGCACTCTTGTTACATTGTCCTGCCCCAGGAGGGGTAACCCACAGCTGTGCTGGCTAGATGGCCATGTTAACTAGTAGAATTTGGGGAGATCAGTGCTTGAGAAGAAATGTTTGCAAAGCATTATGGGAGTAGAAAAGAAGGGCAGAAATTCATTCTGCCTTTAAAGGAGGAAACTGGGGAAGGCGTCACAGAAGTTGGGACATTTGGGCTGGGCTATGGAGGGTTGAGTAGGAGTCCACCAGGAAGGGATACTAGACTGGTATTGACAGAAGGGAAGGAGGGCTTGGGATATTTTTTGTTTGGTTGGTTTGGGGGTTGTTGGGGAGGGGAGGTAATTAGGTTTATTTATTTATTTACTTATTTTTTTTTCAATGGAGGTACTGGGGATTGAACCCAGGACCCCGCTCATGCTAAGCACGCACTCTGCCACTGGGCTCTACCCTCCCCCGTGGAGCATTTTTTAAGCAATGTGTTTGGAGGTGTGGAGACTGGGAAAGGAGGGTGGGGTGATGGAGAGAAGCTGGACCTGAGTGTGAAGAGCCTTGAGTGCCGGGCTGAGGACTTGATATGAAAGTTGGGGGAATGAGTGTGGTGAGACAGGCTCAGGTCTGGCTTTAGCAGGACGCTGGGCCAGCAGCAGTGTGGAGGCTGGATTGGAAAGCACAGGGACCAGAGGCCAGGGGAGGCTGCAGAGAGCTTCCCTTCTGGCCTTGCCCTGACTCTCCTGTTCTCCAAATGCTCCAGCCCCAGGTCCTGCTCCGACTGTTCCCAGCAACCCCAAGTGAGGGAGGGGGATTCTTGTCCCTGCCAGGCCCCGCCTAGAAGCCTCACCTACAGGGTGGGGGTAGTAAGGCGGAAGGCCCCAGGCTGAGGCTGGTCACCCTCTGCAGGTGGGGCGCTGGGACCACGGCATCCTCCACATGAAGTACCCAGTGTGGCCTCGCTACGGTGCCTCCCTGCAGCCCGTGGTGGACAGCCGGCATCTGACAGTGGCCACGCTGGAAGAGCGACCCTTTGTCATCGTGGAGAGCCCTGACCCTGGCACAGGTGGCTGCGTGCCCAACACCGTGCCCTGCCGCCGGCAGAGCAACCACACCTTCAGGTCCGTGAGAACACAAAGGAGGCCTGGTGTGAGCCGTGTGCTGCCCTGTGATGGCAGGCGTTGAGTGTGTCTTATGCTTGGTCCTGGGGGTGGGGGTCCAGCTGCCAGGCTGGGAGGAGTGGCCAGCTCTGATTTCTGGTGGTCTCTTGGCGGCAGCAGTGGTGACGCGGCCCCCTACACCAAGCTTTGCTGTAAGGGCTTCTGCATCGACATCCTCAAGAAGCTGGCCAAAGCGGTCAAGTTCTCCTATGACCTGTACCTGGTGACCAATGGCAAACATGGCAAGAGGGTGCGCGGCGTGTGGAACGGCATGATTGGGGAGGTAGGCCCGCCCCCAGTCCCCTCGAGCCCACCTGCCTGCCCCTCTCCAGGCCGCCCGGGGCCCCACACATCCGTCAGCCACTCCCAGCTGTTCCTTAGGTCTTTCCTCCTGGGCTGGGGATCAGTCAGGGTAGGACCCAGGCCCAGCTCCTCAGGGTCCCCCAGGGGGCAGGGGGTCTGGGCTGTCACCAATGATGACCCCTGGGGTGGTCAGAATGGAAAGTGGAGCTCTGCTTGACCCCAGGTGGGAACAGCTGACTCAGCTGGTAGGTGCTGGGAGAGGGGTGTGGTGGGGAGAGCGGCGTGGTGGGGAGAGGGGAGTGTTCCAGCCTCAGGGAGCCCCTCCTCCAATTGACACGTGGCCCCCAGGTGTACTACAAGCGGGCAGACATGGCCATCGGCTCCCTCACCATCAATGAGGAGCGCTCCGAGATCGTGGACTTCTCCGTGCCCTTTGTGGAGACAGGCATCAGTGTGATGGTGGCTCGCAGCAACGGCACCGTCTCCCCATCGGCCTTCCTGGGTGCGGCTCGGGGTGGGCAGGGATGGTGCAGAGGGGCCCACAAAGTGGCTGTGTGGAGCATGGGTGGAGATGGGAAGCTTGGGGTGGGCCCTCAGAGGGCAAGCACAGCAGCCTTGGGTGCCTCGGAGGTTGCCCAGAAGCCTGAGCTATAGGTGAATAGAATGGACTGTTCTGTCCTGAGCCTGGGTGTTGGGTCAGGGTTGCGGAGGCGGGGAATGGGATAAAAGGGACAGAAAAACCAGGAAGGCAGGCTGGCTTCAGGAGGTGCCTAGTGGCCGGGACATTGGAACAAAGGGAGAAGATCCAAGAAGCGGTGGAGGGGCCAAACCAGAGCCTGGGAAACTGGGCTAGTTTCTGACTTGATTAGGAATTCAGCATTTCTTGGGCAGCTTCCTTGTGCCAGGCCCTGTGCTGGGTGCTGGGATCCAGCCATAGTCCTGGCCTTCCCAGGGCGCCCCGTCAGGAGGTCAGGTGGGACTTGCAGTGTGGGGCCCCAGTTTCTGTGTCAGTAGGATGAGGAGTAAGACTTGACTTCAGAGCTGATTCCAGGCAGAATGAGCAGCTCATCGACACTGGGTCAGGCAGGAGAGTTCCAGGACAGGAGTGTGTTCAGTCGTGCTGGTGACAAGGGAGGAGAGGAGAACAGAGAAAATCCCTTGAGCTTGCTGACGTGACTTTGGGGGATCAGGCTCATGGGGAGGGGGATAGAAGGGCTTGCAGGCAGGGGGATAGGAGAGGAAAGGGAGGGAGCATGGGGTGCAGATCCTCTTTTGTGAAAGGAAGCTGTGGGAAGAGAGAAAATGAGAGCAGTGAAGACTAGAGTCAGAGGGAGGTTTCCTAGGGTGGGTGGTGAGATCCTGTTCCAGGGTGGAAGGGAGAGGGGAGCCTGAGGATGCTGGGGAGCTTGAACTCCCTGGGGTGGAGTCTCCCCTGGGGCTCCGCTGCTCTGAGAGTCAGCGACCACTCGGCTCAGTCCGTGGGGTCGATGGCCCGGCTTTGACCACATGGACTCACCTGTCTGCACTCAGCACTCCGGGTTGCAGGTGGGAGGGGCCGCGCTGAGGCCTCTGAGACCCCTCCTTTGTTCCCAGAGCCCTACAGCCCCTCGGTGTGGGTGATGATGTTTGTCATGTGCCTCACCGTGGTGGCCATCACTGTCTTCATGTTTGAGTACTTCAGCCCTGTCAGCTACAACCAGAACCTCACCAGTGGCAAGAGTAAGCTCCCCCTGGGTCTGGGTCTGGGGGGAGGGAGGAGGGCTGGCCTTCAGGCTACATGCTGGAGGCCAATCAGAGAGAGAGAGAGAGAGAAACAGGGTGACTTGTCCTGGGGTGGGGATGGCTAAGGATGGGGTCCCCACCCAGGACAGAGTGGAGACAGGAGCCACGGAAGCGGGTGGGCTGAGACCTGAGCCCCTCTGTGCTGGGCAAGAGGAGCCTCAGTGTCCACACTCTCCCCCAGAATCTGGGGGCCCGTCTTTCACCATCGGCAAGTCTGTGTGGCTGCTGTGGGCACTGGTCTTCAACAACTCGGTGCCCATCGAGAACCCCCGGGGCACCACCAGCAAGATCATGGTCTTGGTCTGGGCCTTCTTTGCCGTCATCTTCCTTGCTAGCTACACCGCCAACCTGGCTGCCTTCATGATCCAGGAGCAGTACATCGACACTGTGTCTGGCCTCAGTGATAAGAAGGTTCTGGAGCCATGGCTGTTGGAGGCTGGGGGGATGCTGCAGGCAGGGGCAGGCCTTGGGTGGGACAGGAGAGAGTTGGAATCAGTGGAATTGGAACTGGAGGTGGGAGCAGAAAGAGGCTGAGGAGCCTGGTGAGGAGGGGGCTGGGCACAGAGGGGTGGAGAGATGGCTCAGGTTCGCTGACTAAGTGGCCTTGAGTAGGTCTCTCCCTGTCCCCACCTCCGTTTCCCCATTTGTAAAACGCAGATGGTCTCTAAGACCATTCTGCTCTCTGTGAGTCCAGACCGCTGGGTGGGGGCTGGGGGTGTTGGTGCCTGGAAGGTTGGAGGAAGGCTTATGAATGGCGGCTGTCCTCTGCCCGCAGTTTCAGCGGCCTCATGATCAGTACCCACCTTTCCGCTTCGGAACGGTGCCCAACGGCAGCACAGAGCGGAACATCCGCAGCAACTACCGGGACATGCACACCCACATGGTCAAGTTCAACCAGCGCTCAGTGGAGGATGCGCTTACCAGCCTCAAGATGGGGTGGGTCCGCAGTCCTGCACCCACCCTCTGACTGTCTACCCACATGTCTCCCCGAGAGACCCAAGGTGGGGACAGTGAGACTGGGTTGCCCTGTAGGACTCCCGGGGAGGAGGTCTTGGGGCAGAGTGAAGCCTGAAGCAAAAACAGACCCCCACCAGGGCTCAGAGATGCAGCTGTGATATTGACCAGGGGTCAGCCTTGCCCTGAGGTGTTGGCTGTGACCTTCTTAGGGTCTTCAGGGGTCTGGAGGGGCTGGGCAGAGAGGGTGTGTCCTCTGGGGCAGAGAGTCCCCTGGCCTCTCTGAGGAGAGAGTAGGTGGGGTCCCCGAGTTCTGGGAGGGGTCTTCTCTGCATCCAGGACCCAAGGGAACCAGAGAAGGCTCCACCCATCCATCCCTCCTGGGCAGTGCCCAGCGGGCTCACGTGGCCCAGACCCCTGTCGGGCCCCAGGTTTGGTGCCCTGCACCCCGTATGACCCCTGGCCTGAGGGCTCAGCCTGTCCCCAGGAAGCTGGATGCCTTCATCTACGATGCCGCCGTCCTCAACTACATGGCGGGCAAGGACGAGGGCTGCAAGCTGGTCACCATTGGCTCTGGCAAGGTCTTTGCCACCACCGGCTATGGCATCGCCATGCAGAAGGACTCCCACTGGAAGCGGGCCATAGACCTGGCGCTCCTGCAGTTCCTGGGGGACGGTGGGTGCTGCTGCTGGTGGGGGCTGGGGTGGGTCCAGGGTGGGCCACAGCCCGTGGCTGGAACAGCTGCCCAATGGCTGGTCAGCATCTCCACCACTGTTGTCTGAGTGCCCAGGGCCAGTGGGCAGGGAGAGGTCTCTGGAGGTGCAGTGGCTGGTAGCGGGTATTAGAAGTAGCTGGATGGAGACCTGGTGAAGGGATAGGTTTGCTGGGAGGGAGTAAGAAATAGAGTTGGGGAGCCCCTGCAGGACAGGAAGACAGGAAGGAGCTCAGGCCACACAGGGGGGGGTTGGGGGCGTCTGAACGCCTTTATTTTTCCCCATGACCCCTTTCCTCCATTTCTATCTTGAGATGACCTGGGGTAGTACCAAGGGCCAGCTTCGTCCCAGAGCTGGGACCCAGGCATACCTTGGTAGCAGGGGCTCAAATGTGTGAGTGGTCCAGCTGGGCCTGCCCCAAGACCCACAGAGAGCATTGACCATGGAGTCACATCCCCACTAGATAACTGGTTTCCCGTCAGTGCCATAGAACAATGCAAGTGATAATAGTGAAGCTCCTTGCATTCCTCGGGGGCCTAGACCTTTTATCTCTGTGTGCCCAGCTCCATGCTAGGCATGTAGGTGATCAATACATGTTTGACGAATGAGGGAATCATAAAATTTACCCAGTCAACAAACTTTTACTGGGCATGTGGCATGTAGGCATGTGGGAAGTGGGTGTGTCAAAGGCTGGCATTGCCCCCTCCCAGCTCCCACTCTGCTCTTCTTCCTTCCTGCTCATTGACCACCCTTCCATCTCCTGGCGTCGGGCTGGATCCCTGTGTGGTCCTACCAGGAAGTGGTACCCTGGCCCCAGACCTCTCCTCACTCCAGGCTTGAGTGAGTACTGGGAGGGTCCTTTCTAAGCCGGGTGTGCCCCATCCCCCCAGGGGAGACTCAGAAGCTGGAGACGGTGTGGCTCTCTGGGATCTGCCAGAATGAGAAGAATGAGGTCATGAGCAGTAAGCTGGACATCGACAACATGGCCGGTGTCTTCTACATGCTGCTTGTGGCCATGGGGCTGGCCCTGCTGGTCTTCGCCTGGGAGCACCTGGTCTACTGGAAGCTGCGCCACTCAGTGCCCAACACATCCCGGCTGGACTTCCTGCTGGCTTTCAGCAGGGTGGGTACCCACCTTACCCTAGACAGGCTCTGGCTCCAGGGGCACAAACCCAGCTAGCTAAGTCAGAGGTGGCCATGGCCCCAATTACGAATGTAAAAACTGAGGTCCGGAGAGGTGACATGGACTGTCAGCATCACACAGCAGATGAGAAGCAGAGCCCTTCTCCAACAGGCTGGACAGGACTTTGGAGCCAGGCTGACCAGGGTTCAAATCCTCACTGCCATTTACAGGCTGAATGACTTTAGGAGAAGGAGTTAACCTCCTGGAACCTCAGAGAACTCCTCTGTAAACTCTCCCAGCAGCACAGTTCCTGGCACATAGTAGGCACTTAACAAATGTTAGTTGCTTCCTGGAACTTAGAGATGCCTGGGCTAATGCTTCCCAACGGGGCGGGGCGGTGGGCGGTCGCGGAGGGGAGGGCGCTGCTCACACACGTCTCCTCCCCGCTGCCCAGGGCATCTACAGCTGCTTCAGCGGGGTGCAGGGCCTGGCCAGCCCCGCGCGGCAGCCCAGCCCAGACCTCACGGCCGGCTCGGCCCAGGCCAGCGTGCTCAAGATGCTGCAGGCGGCGCGAGACATGGTGACCACGGCAGGCGTGAGCAGCTCCCTGGACCGCGCCACGCGCACCATCGAGAGCTGGGGGGGCGGCCGCCGTGCGCCCCCGCCACCCGCCTGCCCCAATCCGCGGCCGCCCACCCCCAGACCACCCCCCGAGCCGAGTCCCACGGGCTGGGGGCCGCCAGGCTGGGGCCGCGCCGCGCTGGGGCGCAGGGCCTCGCAGCCCCCGGGCCGTGCCCCGACGCCCGGGCCCTCCCTGCCCGACGTCTCACGGGTGTCGGGCCAGCCGGCCTGCGAGGCACCTCGGCAGGTGCGGGCGGGGCGCTTCGGGCGGCACCTCTGGGCTTCCGAGCGGCGCGCGCTCCCAGAGCGACCCCTGTCGCCCGAGCGCTGCCACTACAGCTCCTTCCCTCGAGCAGACCGGTCGAGGCGTCCCTTCCTCCCGTTCTTCCCAGAGCCCCCAGAGCCCGAGGAACTGCCGCTGCTCGGGCCGGAGCAGCTGGCCCGGCGGGAGGCCCTCCTGTGCGCGGCCTGGGCCCGGGGGTCGCGCCCACGCCACGCTTCTCTTCCCAGCTCGGTGGCCGCGGTTTTTGTTCGGCCCAGCTCAGGGCCCGCCGGGTGTGCCCGACCCACCTGCGGGCGGTTGGCGCAGGCGCAGTGGATGAGGCTGCCGTCCTACCGGGAGGCCTGCCAGGAGGGGGTGTGGGTAGGGGGCCCCGCCTGGCCGCACAGACAGCACACCTGCCTCCATGCCCATGCCCACCTGCCGCTTTGCTGGAGGTCTGTCTGCCCTCACCTCCCACCCTGTGCCAAACACGGCCCCTGGCTCTCTGGGGCTTGCGGGCCTCTGGGGCACAGGGGCAGGACCCTGGGGCTGAGCACACGCTACAGGGACAGTGGGGGGCTGGAAGAGGACAGCAGAGTGGCTTGTGGGATGCACGGCTTCCCCCGACCTTGCACCTGGAGGAGGATCTCCAGCTTGGAGTCGGAAGTGTGAGGTGTCAGCTACTCTGGTTCCTCCTCAGCTGGATTCTCTGCCTGGCACTGCCAGCATTAGGGGGCAGATGGGCTTGGGCTTTTCTGGCTTCTGCAGTGAAATCCTGGCAACCCAGGGACAGATGATGTCTTCCACGGTCAGTTCAGCGACCTCAGCAGCCTCAGGTCCTGGTGTGGGCTGGACTTTTGCTGTCTTCTTATGCAAGGCCCTTCACACCTGGCCTAAAGTCACAGGGAGCAGTGGGGTCTCCCAACTCTGCTGTGAGCGGGTCCCTGGTCATGGCTCCTGGGGGCTTGGGCATGGGAGCATGGAGGCTGGAACTTGGGGTTGGGGCAGGGCTCTCCTACTCCTTATTCCACCTGGCTGGAGTTTCTTCTCAGAGTGTTGGGACATTAAACAAACCTTTTACAACTCACTGGTCCTGGCTGCCTCATTCTGCATCCTTGGAGGGTATACACAGCCTGTAGGCAGTAGGAGCATCATGGGAGTATCCCAGGTGAGGTGTCTGCCTAGGGCTCCCTTTAGGGGAGTATCCAGGAGGTGAGGCTGAGGACTCTGGGCAGCAGAAGCCCCTTGATATTCAGTGCCAACTCCCGCCCACCCTGATGCCGTATGTGACAGATGTGTTCAGCACAGGGGCTCTGGTGGTAATGGATAGAGTTCATCCTTCAGTCTCCTTGAAAAGAAAGGCTCATGCCAGGGACTGTGGGTATCCTGCCCTGCCAGGGGCCCCCATGAGTACGTGACAATGTCACGGTAGAAACAGCAGAGGGAGGTTTGTTGCGGGGAACCTGCTGGGCTCTCCTGGGCCCTGGTGCATTCACTCTGTGGTGGATGTGCAGGGCTCAGACTGTCTTCTGGGGTCAGCACAGCTTAGCCTCACTGATGCTGGGACTCCTTGGGAGGGAAGAAGCCTCAGGTCAGAGAATCTGTCCCACATCTCAATTCTCTGTCCTCCCTCTGGGGTTACCAGCCCCACCTCCTTTCTCTGTAACATGCCATTGGCTGTAAACCGTTTTAAAAGATGGCTCTTCCTGACCATTTTTAATGTCTTCACATTAAAAGACATTGGTTACATGTATCCCCACAGTGACTGTGAAGCAAGCATGCACTCACACTTCCATTCATTCTGCAAAAACAGTGAGCATGATTGGTGCTGTCAGAACCTTTTCTAACTGTGAGCATGTGCAGCCTGGGGCCTTGCAGTTCTTGACCATTTGGGTGAAGCAGGGCAGAAACTAACTCCATGCAGTAGAGAGGAGGTCGGGAGGGCAGTGCTGGATGCCCAGAGCTCTTTCCCACACAGCTCCTTGCTGGCTCCCAGGAAGCTGGGTCCCCTCTCCAGTCTCCAAATACTCCACTTCGGGGATTGGGGCCATGAAAACTGGAAGATTTTGTTTGGTTTTAGGAATGAGAGCAGCTGAAGTGGTAGAGTGGGGAAATTTCTAATACCTCTCCATTCCTGGCTGGAGAGCCTAGGTACACTGAGAGAATGGGTAGTCCTTGTCCATTACAGTCAGTTTCATGTTTCTGCCCTATGGATTTTCATGGGTCCAGGTCCAGGATCGGGGGCTCCACAACAGATGTTGAATGTGAGTCTAGGTGAGTGCTAGAGGCCAGTGCTGAGGAAGGGAGCTTAACCTTGGTCGCAGTCGCTGGTGATGAGAGGGTTAACTCTTGCCCACCAGCCCCTGGACCTAACCTGTCCTGCTGCCCGGTCTGGGTCTGAGTGCAGCTCTGGGTGGAAGGCTGCAGCAGGTGAGGCTGGGAGGAGGTGTGAGATCCAGGCTGCTCTCTGCTCACTGCTTAAGATCATTAATAACCAAGAACTGGAAAGATAATTAAAAGCCGCATGTGGAGCTAAACCTGCTGCTGGCTGGCTCTAAGATGGGGCCAATCCTGCTCCTGGGGCCAGGCTCTTGGCTGCCTTGCTCCTTCTCTAGGAGTGTATTCTGGCCAGTGGAGGCAGGAAGGATGCCTCCTCCAGTTTTGGAGCTGCGATGCCCTCTGCCCCTCTGCAGGAGGACCAACGAAGGGTCCTGTATTACCAAGGGGAGGGCAGAAAGCCTGGCAGGGGAGGAGGGAGCAGCTATGTTGGAGAGTGAATTGAGGCTCTAGATATTCAATCGTCATAAACAAGGGCGTGACTGCATAGCAAAGAGAAGGCTGAACCCAGACACCAGACCCAACTGCTGTTTTTTTTTTTCTCTTTTGGGAGGCTCCAGGAAGAGAGAGGCCTTTAGTCACCAGTCTCAGCAACAGAAATTCTGTCTTACCCTGTTCCCTCCTGCTGCTGCCATCACTGTTTCTCCCTCTGTCTTTCCTGTGCGGCTCAGGGTTCACACCACCTTTTTTCCTGGGGGCCTGTGTGTGGGGAGGGGGCGCAGAGGTGCCTGCTGCCCACCTCCCACCACTCAGCAGTGCCTCCCAGCCTGTCACCTGCCATCTGCCCCATCCCCAAGCCCGCAGCTGCCTCTCTGGCCTCAGGTGAGGGCACAGCCAGGAGCTGCTGGCACAATGGCACGCGTGCATCGGCAGGGGACAAGACAAGAGACCGCTGACTCCCACCTTGACCTGGCCTGCCCTCGGGACCCGTCTGGGGCAGAGCGAGTGAGTGGCATTGGGCAAAGGCTGATGAGTTTGCGTTCTCCTCCACAGTGACACTTGTACCTGGGCCAGGCTGGGCTGGTGCCCCACTACTGACACCAGGGCCCATCTGTAGAATGGAAACCATAACCCAACTTGCCCACCTCTCCAGGCTGATGTAAAAACTCACAGCCAGACAAGCTGGATGGGCAAGGTGAGCATCACCTGGGGAATGTCTAGCTCTCAGGGTCCTCAGTCCTCTCCCCTTAGCCCCAAGCCCCCCACCCCCACGGCTATCAACATAGAGTGGAAGGCCACCCCAACTGACTTTCAGCAGGACAGACAGCAGGTGAACACCAAGGAGCAAAGGAATCCAGACTGTTGCAGGGGTGGGGGCCCTGGTTTGCCATCAGTGACATGGTCACCGCCAGCCAATTCCTTCCAGGACTGGGGCTGCTCAGCTCAAGAGGTGGAGGGGAATGCAGCCATCCGACTCCACTGCTGTGTGACTCCAGATTGTCACATAAATCAACCTGGGCTTTACGCTGCTAATAAATTTGTGTCCAAAATTTGGTTTGGAGCCTGAGGTGGCAGGATGATTTAATTTGCTTTGTCCTTAAGCAAGTAGGGATGTAATTGGAGAAGGGTAGGTACAGATGTTTTGAGTTCTCCCCAAACAGCCAGGCTGCTCCAGGGAGGGGCTGAGCTACAGGGGGCGGGGCCACTGTGGAGGCCTCCCGGCTCCGCCCACCCTGGGGCGAGGCTCCCTAGGAAGCAGCCACGACGGCAGATGGGGAAGAGGCGTCTTTCTTTGACGAGGGTGGAAAACAATTGCCAGGGATAAGCTGTGAGAAGTGAAGACGTGTGACCACAGTGAGAAAGCTGATCGCGGCCACTTACGACACGAGATTCGCACAGGCTGGGGCTGCCATGGGCCAGAGGGGAGGGGCCGGCGGCGCCTCCAGACGCCGCTTGTTTTTGCGAATCCCGTGTCCCCCTCCCTGTTCCCTGAGGCCCCGGGAGACCTGGCGTCCTCGCTCTGTCCAAAGTCCAAAGACGGTGGGATGCAGGGGGGAGGCCGCAGAGGTTCCCCGGAGGGTTGAGCAAGGCACTGAAATCAAAAGAGGGCTGGGGAGGGGCCTGAGACCCCACCCCAGAGGGGCAGCTCCTGGTCAGGCTGCTCTGGGATCCAGGACAGGCAGGGTTAGGCCCAGGGCATGGGGTCACACCAGGGAGGGCCAGGAGGGGCCCCCAGGTCCTGAAGCAGGAGAAGGCACATTGAAAATGCAGAGTTCATTAGAGTCACCTGTTTCCCAGGAAGGCTGGCCCAGCAGGTACGTGCATGATTGTGAGGGGGAGGGGACCAGAGGAGCTGGTGAGGGGCCCTGGAACCTGACCCTCCTTCCACGGGAATGGTGGCCAGTGCCCCATCTCACCCCACAGCACCCAAGTGACGTGGAGTATGTGAATGCTGAGCACCCACAGCCTGGCTTGAGAGGGAGCCAGTTAAGTGTTGGAGTGGGAGCAGGGACAGCAGGGACAGGGGGCAGGCCTGACCTCTCACGCAGTGGGAACCAGGGCCTACAAGCTACTGTGGTGACAGATGGGGAGAGCTCCCGTCTAGTGGGCCTTATACGCTGCCCCCCCACACTGCAGGAGGCCCCAGGGACCCCAGTCAGAAGGGCAGAGGATCCCTTTCAGGGGTCACAAGCTCTGGGCTTTAATCCCCAGGCACGGGCTGCTGTGTCACCAACGGAAGGGCTGCTCCCGCCCGCTGCTCCAGAGACACCACAGCGCCCACAGCAGGGAACTCACAGCTCTGGCCTGGGGACCCTGGTACTGATTAGCACTTCCTGTCCTTGTCATCAGTGGCCAGGCACTCCCCCAGGAGAGGCACTTGGCACCCCCAGGCCTGGCGGGAAGGTGAGCCCTGTCACTCGCAGTCCTGGTGGGAGGAGGGGGAGGGCTGGGGTTGCCCTAATGTAGTAGATTTCCCAGACGAGGATGCGGGAGGAACTGGGAGGGGGCGGTGGCAGTGGGGGAACATGTGTCTGGTATAAATAGTGGCAGTGCCAGCACTGCATCTCCACTGTGCAGGGGGAGGAGCCCGCCTGGGGTGGTGGGTGGGTGTGAAAGCAGAGGAATCGATTCCAGTAACCAGTCCGAGCAATAATCTGGGAGCAGCCGCGTGCCTGGGCTGTGGGACTCGGCTGGCCAGGGGGGCAGCCCCAAGTAGGAGGACCCGGAGGAAGGTGACCCCGGCAAGTGAGGCGAGGTGCAGACTGTGGAGTCCTGGGTGGGGAGAAGAGCCCCAGCTGGGGGAGTGGAGGGTCCCTTCCAAGAACCTGGGCCTTGCCTGCCCCAGGAAGACCTGGGAGGCAACTAGCTCTTGGCTTTGCCGGCAGGGAGGACGGAGTGGGACCCCTACCTCTCTCGTCACCAGACATGTCCTGCCATCAGAGCTTGGTCTCGCTGAGGACGATGTTGGCGGTGACAAATAAGAAGCAGGAGAAAGCCCAGAGCAGCACAAAGCCCACCCAGAAGGTGTGGCGGAAAGGGGACCCGTGCTTGTTGATGGTCCCGAAGCCAAAGGCCAGCTGTGTGTCCCTGCGGCAGAGGTACACCAGGAAGGCGGGGATGATGTACTGGATGCCTGTGCCCGCGTAGGCCCCGGTGATGCCCACCAGCGACTCCAGGTCGTGGGTGCAGAAGGCCACCAGCACGGGGGGCAGCAAGGTGATGGTGGGGAACACCACACGGTCCACCACCCAGGGGTACGTGCCACCCTCGCGGTGGAAGAGCGTCTTCCAGTTGTTGCGGAGGGTCACGGCGATGATGGGGAAGTTGGTGCTGATGGTGAAGACGGGGAAGAGGCCCAGGAAGAAGCGCACAGCGGCCAGGCCCACGACGTCGCAGCGCGCGAAGTTGAGGGTGTACATGTCCAGGAGGCTGTCTCCTCGGAAGCAGAAGATGGCGGTGAAGGAGAGGAGGCCGTAGAAGGCCAGGATCAGCACATAGTCCAGGAAGACCAGGCGCGTGAGGTGGCGCTTGGAGGAGACAGGGGTGACGAGGGACGGCAGGGAGTGCTGGCACATGAAGGAGTAGACGCACACCCCGAACAGGTTCCGGACGCCGGAGAAGTCGGCCAGGGGCGGGTGCCCCTCCCCACGCCCGTGCCCGATGCGGACCAGGGCCAGCACAATCATGATGGCGAAAGCTGGAAAACAGGAGGGGAGTCAGCTGGCGGAGGAGGAAGCAGCCCTACCAGGGACGGTTTCTGGCCTGGGGGTGTCTGCCAAGGGACTGGAGCCCCAGGGAAAGAATGACTCAATATGTGTCACCCTGAGGGTCATCTTCTGGGTCACAGCAGTGGCTGCTGATCTCAGGGACATTTGGTTCACGCCCCCCCCGCCCCCGGCAGGTAAAGGAACATGTCTCTGGGGGTGGGGGATGGGGGTGGCAGGAGGGCAGCGCGGGGGCGATCAGCAGAGCAGCTCAGGCCCCCGGCCAGGACCTGCCAGCTCCCTTGTCGGCCCCAGGGGCTCTCTCACGGGGCTTTGCCAACTTCCTGGCACCAGGTCTGGCGCAGGACTCTGGCCGCTCTCCCTCCTTTTAAAGGATGTGTGTGTGAGGAGCGGGCGTGGGGAGAGTGGAGAGATAAGAGGCACAGAGCACTTGGGAGGAGGTGTCCTCCTGGGCCAGGGCTGCTGCTGGAGACAGCTGAGGAGAGATGGGGAAGCATGCCAGCAGCCCTGAGTAGAGGCGGGCGCTCAGGGGCCCACACCAGGCAGGGACGTTCCCATAGTCACTCGAGGTCACTCGAGGGAAGAAATGGCACCAAAGACCAATGCTGGAAGAGGGGAGCTGAATTCTCTGCGCTGCCCATGCCAACAGCACGTGGCTCCCTTCTCCTAGGCCTGCTGGCACAGGTAGGGGACAGGGAGTGACTCTGACCCGAGTTTGCTGCAGAAGTGGAAGGGGACCTGTGATTCTATCTGTTCACACAGCGCTCCAGGCTGGCTGCGCCTCTGACAGCCACTCTCCTGCGGGTCCTGCATCCGGAGTTGGGCTCGCCAGCCGGTGCTCCAGAATGTAGACTCTCTGAAGCAGACGTACTTCTAGACCCGGTGGACTCTCTCCGGCTTCTCACATGTTACCCAGATTTCCCCGAACTACCACTGTTAGCACACCCAGGGACCACCAGTGTCTCTGTCTCCAGTTTTGGAGTCTGCAAAGCCCTGCTGTCTCTGTTCAGACCAGGCCTGACAGTCCTTCCAGCCTGGGCCCCCATCGTGCAGGGAAAGCCACGATGACACAAGGCACTTCTAGGGGAGCAACTCAGGCAAACAGTGGCCAGAAGAGGCTGGCTGCCGGCTCATCAGAGGCTCAGGGCTCCCCATTGTCCCCTTCAGGCCACATCATACCCCCAGCTCCCTGGAAGGAAAAGGCCTTTCTCCCAGGACTCACGGGAAGCCAAACCAATGTCTTCCCACAATGACACTTGGGACTGCGCTCAACGGAAATGTCATTTATTACTTTTAATCAGAGCTGCCTGATACTGTCGGGTACAGGAGGGGAGGAGGAGAGCCGGGAAACAGGCCTGTGAAAACTGCCAGTAAAGATGATTTGTTTCTGAGGCTCTCAGCCCACTCCTGTCCCTGCTGCTCCTGACTCTGAGGGCACCACGACTCTTGCCGCTGCAGGGACATCACAAATCCTGCCAGCTCCAGTCAGTCAAGGGGAAAGTGGCAACCCAGTTCCTTCCTTGAGCCCAGGAACTGCCTCTGGCTGAACTCTCTAAGGGTTGGGACAGGACACCCTGTGGGGCCTCCCTGTTCCCTCGGGGATGCCTAGGACCCCGGCAGTCTGGCTTGTCAGATTTCTGGGGGTGTGCAGGCCAGAGATCTGTATGGGAGAACCATACCCAGGAAGTGAGCTGGGGCAGGTGAGAGGGGGACCCAGGGAAAGGCTGGATGGGGTGGAGGTACAGTCCCTGTGTGCCAAGGAGTCTGTCCTGGGCCAGGAAGGGTTACAAAGCAGAGATGAGCGGGTCGGGCAGCTACAGCTGGGAGACAGGGCCCCTGGGGCCACCTGGTGATTAGGTATTCAAGAGGCTGCAGCTGACAGTTCTGCAACAGAGGTAGGCCACCAGCGTCAGGGCAGAGAGGACAGCTGCTGGAAGGCAAGAGACCAATCCTGCTGTGCCACCACTGTCTCAGGGGGTCACCTGGTGACCTGGCGCTATTCCTGGCCCAGGCCCAGGCCCAGGCCTGCACGGCCGTCTGGCTCGGCCTCGGGGCCATGGGTCTGGTGAGCGTGCGGGAGGCGGGGAGAAGCTGGCTGGCTGGATGTGAGGGCCTCCCCTCACTGCTCCCTCCAGCTGGGGTGCTGGCTAGTGCTTCGCTGTTCAGCTTCCTCCTCAGCCCTAAATCTCCAAGAGGCTGTAAGAAACGCAGGCAGAAAGTGGCTTGCTGACTTCAGGGCGAGCTGTCTGGACAGCCCTGACTGGTGGCTTTGCTTATTGTAAACAAACCAATTTAGGAAGCAAGTTTCCAAAGAGTTTTGACTGATTTTTTTTTTTACAGCATGCATGGGCACCCCCTTAAGAATGTGCACCTACTAACAGGGGTCCTCCAGAGTTGCTGTCTTGGGAGCTGCATCATTACATCCACGATGGTGTGGGACATTTTCCAGAACTTTCCGGATGCCTACAAAGCCATAGCTCTGGGTGGTAAGAAAACTCTCATAATTTTCCAGCTATAATTAGCTTTACCTGATAATGCTATTACCTAGATTTGTCACCCATTTTGTTCCCTTACTTGAACAAGTCTATCCGCCAGAACAACAGGTCTGTTTCCAAAAACCAGATCTACCCTCAAGGGCTGGATGTTTGCTCCTGTCTAGGAATTAAGATGCCAGAGGCTCTTGAGAGGTGATTCCAGGGGCATTAAAAAGTGGCCGCTTCGTGGGGTTGCAGCTCCCCAGGAAGCCCTAGGTAACCTCGGGACGAGACGGGGAAGTGGGAGGCGGGGTGATGTTTTCTGGAGTGGAGACACGGGGGCAATGATCCAGCCTGGTCTCCAGATTGGCAAGTGCAGTAAAAACCAGTGGTATCCACGCACTGCGTTGTGATGGAAGGACAGAGAGTGAAAGGAAGGAAGGAAGCAGGAGGGCCAGGTGCGGGCGGCTCTGACCTTGAGGGGTCCTGGCACTAGGGGCGTGAGGACTAACCTTCCCACTGCCACCTGGCCCTGCCCTTGTGACCACACTCCGTTGCTCTTGGCCCTTCCCTCCTCCAGTTACTGGAGGAGCAAAGTTCAACACCCATCTTCTAGATTGATCGCCCTGTCTCCAGGAGATAGCTGCTCCAAAAACTCATTAGGTCTGATAATAAATCAAGATGAGATGAGGATGACAGGATGTGAGCGACAGACACGGCCAGCAAGCACGATGGAGAGCAGGGCTCTGAGCGCACACAGGATGCCCAGGGTCTGGGCGCCGCCACTGACAGCTCATGCCACCTGGCCGGGGCCGTGTGGGAGGTGGGGATGGAGGCAGAGGAGGACACAGGGCGGGCTGGGCTTCTCTCTGACCCTCACACGCTGTGCTGAGAGAGCCCACATGATGGACGGTGGTTGCAGTCCCCATCCACCTGCACTGTGCACCAGCAGTCACGCTCCAAGGGGTGAAGAGATGCAGCGAGTTGCCAGGCAGGATGCTGCGGGGGTGAGGGAGGAGGTGAGGGCCTGATACAGGTCACACGAGGAGTGGCTGTCAGCCCCAGAAGGTGCAGCTGCAAGGTGACGAGGGGGGTCAGGAGACTTCTCTTTTAATATCTGCAGTAACAGCCCACGTGAAAACAACTGCCCTTGTTTTGGCAGCCGCACAGGGCTCACCGGGACAGTTCATTCATTCCACAAAGACGCACCCAGGGCTCTCACCTCACGGCTGTCTATGTGTCTGTCTGACCTCACAGCCCCTTTCCTTTGCAGAGAGGGGAGCCAGTGAGTCGACCCCCTTCTGAACTCCTGCCAAAGGGCAAAGGTGGTCCAGATTTTTAAGGAGATGAGAGTGAAAAAACAAACAAGACCCCAAATCTGAATGACTTGCCTCTCCTGGTTCCCCACTTGGCTCTCCCAGGCCCTTCCCCTTGGGGCCTCATTGGCTAGATAAAGCTTTGAACCGGCCCGGACCTCACAGGAGTCAGAGTTGACTCATTCTTGGGGCCAAATGGGGATAAGCAGGGGTCTAAGGTCAGGGCCCGGGGCTCTGAGGCTCACTTCTGCAGAGTCCAACCGGCAGCCCCAGTTTGCCTCTCTTGGGTCTGTGGGTCAGGGCAGAGATCAGAGTGGTCAGTAGCTAGCTGCATCCTCCGTGCACTGGAACCACCTCGGGTGGGCACCTGCGTGCTGGCCTGTGCTGGGAGTGGAGAGGGAAGAGCTCCTTCCGGGCCTCCAGGCAGCCGGCTGGCACTGCCTTGGCCCCGGGGCTGTGGCGAGGCTCTCCCTGGCGCTTGGAATGGTGGCGAGGCCCGTGCAGAGCTGTGAAAAGGGAATGTAAACTAGCTCCTTTATCATTTTCTCACTGAGTACATGTTGAAAAGATATTTTTGATACGAAGTTGAATAAGCACACTATTAAAATTAAAGTTTTAAGACGTGCCTACACAAAACTGAAAATTCCCCAGTTGGCTCACATTGTATTTTGATTGGGCAACGTGGGTTTACAGCGACCACGCCTCTGGGGAGTGTGCATCTGTGAAGCATCTGACCTGCTGGGAATCTGAAACATTTCTGCCTCCTGCCCCCAACCTCAGCCCGGCTCCTAACTCTAATCCTGTCACCGGCCCTGATTTGCTCTGAGACACTGAAGACCTCGGGCCAAGGTGCGATACTGCACTCCTTCCTCCTGAAAAGCTAAAGGCAAAACAGGCTTTCAGTTCCCCTGGGCTGTGACCAACAGGGTGGCCTGCCCTGCAGCGGGGATACTGGCTGGGCCTGTGGTCCTGGGTCATTAAGTCAGAAGGACATTTTGGTAAACACGTGAGCTCGAACAGAGCTTCTCTGGAACGCAGGAGGGCTGTGCCCAATGGCCCGCGCCCCTGAGGCCCTAGCCCCAGTTGTCTCCTTTGCAGGCACCGGAAGGAATGCAGCTATCACAGAGGAGGGGGACGCTTCCCGCTAAGGCCACAGCCCTCATTCTTAATCCCCAAGGGCCC